ACGTTATCTATCTTGTTACCGAGTTTTTCCAGGAGCTCATTCATGATGAATAGACGATAGAAGAGGAACCAAATATGAACCAAGAAAGTCAACTTTCGGAAGTATTTACTTCATCATCGCAGCAATACCCCTCATCCAGTGCATCTATGCCAGAATCATCTCAGGTAAGCGATAGACATTTTGAGTATCCGGCTAACTGTCAGAATTCAGCGGAGCACATCCTCTTCTACTCACTTTTTCCCACCACTCGTAGTGGATCCAACTCGCATGGGTATTCCATTGGCTATTAAGGCAGGTCTATATCAGCAGCTGGTCCCATATCGGTCTAAATTGAAGGCTCTCAGCAATTTGCAATAGCTCTTAAGCAGCTCTACTCCAAATCACCATGGGTAAGCTTAATCCTTCCTCTTGACGAATAGTTTTCTCATCGTATGACAGGACTCTGCTTTTCCTAAGGTCTGCATGTCTATTCTTCTTCCTTTTTTATTACTGACTGTTTCTTCAACCATTAGATCAAACCGCTCGTGGGTCCTATTATAGGAACCATGCTCATAGATATTAATGAGGTTGTTTGAATGTCTTCTACAGGGCGATATCACAGGTTTCTCTACATTCCAACTCATCGAAGTGAGTAAATCGGCTGAATGTCCTTTGTACTTTATTGACGAATACATTCCCAGGATAATGACCCGGGGACAGGGAAGCAAAAAAAAGGAAAATATCAGCAAGCTTACTTGAAGGTTTGTAACACTTTCACAATATCGCTTCTAGCTATTGACATGACTGAAATCTCCTTATTTAAGTCTGCAATCTACATTCACTTGCTTGGGTTACGGGCAGCCACCTACTATAAGACTGGGCAATGGGACGCTCCCATTTCAAAACCGAAGCAAAAGTGTATGGAGAACAACTTTGTTATCCAATGCGCGGAGCCTACTAGTGAGCACAATCGCGAGGTGTGCAACGTCCTTGCGACACACTTTACCTCCTTTCTCGAGGCAAATATTTGGAAGAAGGAGATGATAGGGCGGTCGGATGGGCGTCTGTCTCTCCGCATCCGATCCATCTGTGAGGAATGTCTGAACTTACAAATCTCTTTGCAAAAGTCTGTAAAGAGAGAAGGAAGCCATGACTTGGAGGTTCAACAATACGATCTAGAAAGACGTTTGGCAAGAAGAGTTGCTGTAAGCTTTCTGTTTGCATCCTAGAGCTTTCACTCACATTATATCATAAACACCGAAGAAATGGATGAACTTGTGTCAAATTTCTATTGCTTTCAAGAAATCTCCTCTCACGCAACTTGTTATTGAGGGGGGTGCAGACATGTGCAGCAGCGATGAGAGTGGCGACGACGACACCAGTAAAGGCAAGCAAAAGCATGGGAAGGTCCGACGTACTCTAACCCGCAAACGACTTCCATGGAGAGAGGGCTCTCTGCTTGATCGAGACTTTATTACCCCAGCGAGGGTGTCGAACCTTTACTTCGACGACGGTAACAGGGTTTCCGATGACAAGCGCCGCCTGAGTGACCGTCTCCCTCCACATGAATTTCCGGTTCAATTTATCGGCACAGGCTGGTTTCGTGAATTTGCTCAGAAGTATGGAGTAGAGGCATAATATTCAACATAGACCCTGTTTATCTAGCCGCTTTCTCTATATGAAATTCAAATCAGGAAATTCTCGGCGTGCTAATATAGGTCATATCTCAAATGAGCGACTTGTAAGATTGGGCGAGTATATTATGAGCGTATGTTGAATTAATTGAAATGCACTTGATAAGGAGGACCACCCTGGCTTCGCGCAGTCTGACGGCACAGGGGCGCGAAGGACTCGCTATGTGGTAGGCGGGACGAGTGCAACTTGAATGTATATGTTTGATTAGCGAATGATCTTTATGTCAATGTTTGTCCTATGATTAGCTGGTCTCGGTCAATTCTTTGCCCGCCTTCGGCTACAAGTCGTTGCAGTTGTTAATCAACTTTCTGCCGACCACCTTCCATCAAATATATCGAGTCTCCCACAATTCTGCGACAATTCCGATAAAATTGCAGGGATTGTTGATCTTCGTCCAATCGACATCCCGACCCTGTGACCACGCGTTAACGGCCCAGCAACTACTCTTCCTACGAGTGGCGCCAACTTGCGCAGCTGCTCAACTGAGGGTTGCCGAAGTCCTTTCGGTAGGTCTCAAATAGCCAACAATTGAGCTTGGGACCCATACTGATGTTTCCATCCTTCAGTCTAAGGGGTGGCCCCGTGGGACAGCGACACCAACACCCCAGGCCGGACCAAGGCTATCTTCCATGTAAAGGGCAACATTTTCCGCCACAATGAGTCGTGATTCTCTTCAACCTCTGTCAATGGCCATGCTCACGTCCGTGACCAGTTCAAGAAGTTTATTCAAGTTGTCGCGATCAATTATTCGACCACCAAAGCCTTTGGGTAACCGAGGTTTCACATATGTCAATGCTACGAGCAAACAGAGGCTCACACCACCTCTTCGAGAATTGTGGATATGCACATGCGAGCTGCTCGTCTCTTTTTGTTTCAAGCACTGCACCTTACTCCAAGATTTCATCCCTATCCAAGCCAAATCTTGCTGATTCGTTCTGCCTCTCTCCCTGCCACAATTACGCACAGCATGCGGACCAGCGTTGCCGGTAGGAAGTATGTTATTGCGAAGAATCATCCGGACAAGGGATTAGTGTAGGTAGACCCTTAATGCTTTAGACTAAAACTGACTCTTCTTAATTACAACTCCCTAGCCGAACCTGCCGCAGAGACCCCCAAAGAAGAACTTTCGCACTCGATTGATGGTACCAGCAAAGCTGCTGTCGCAGACGCTACCGAAGCGAATGGCAAAGGTACGTCAACCTTCGTAGCCATTGCTTCTCTCTACCGATCATACTTATTTGACATCTTGCCCTGGAGTCTTCAGTGAAGTGTCGAGCACCAGGCAAGTGGTTCTTGTTTGTTCCTTAACGGAGTGTTTCACTTTATACAGTACGTCAGCAAAAGGTCAATGCAAGTCATCAGGTGGAAACAAGATACAATCTCTGCGTAAAGCGGTAATAAAAGAGGCCCATTCATCGCATTCTGTTTTCACGGTGCCCAACCTGGCGGCAACAAGCTCGTCCGACTTCGTAACCCAGCCGGTGCACCTATTCAGCAATGCTTTCGACACAGGAGCTGATGAAGAAGAACTGTAGTATTCAATCTTGGTCTATTAAACACCTCTCAATATAACTG